AGAAAGAAACTTCAAGCTAGCTTGTTTCAAGGAATATATACCTCATTTCATTATTAATTAAACAAAAAAAAAAGTATTATTAACGTGTGAACATGGCATTGTTTAGTTGTATTTGTCATGCCCAAAACCCTTTTTGAATTTTCTTAACAAATAAAAAGAAACCTTGTTTTTAATTCCTTTGAAGGGGAAATGTATTAAAGTAGTTAAACGAACCATACATAGACATACATAAGTATGCTTCATGCGGAAGGTAGCAAAGCTCCAACATAGTTGCATTTGAATATTAAACCCTAAATTTGTCAATCGTCACTGCATGGTTCATATATGAAGACTTTTATTTTATATTACTAACTTTTTCCTCGTCCCTGACCCACTCTTATTTTTTTCCCCATTGAGTGGCGTGTTGCTTGGGAAACTAAGATATTATGACCTATTGAAAAATGTTGAGCGTAAGAAATTTCACAAAAAGGAAAAGACTAGGGATAATTTGAATGGTTGAAGCTTGATTAGAAGTTACGAGTAGTAAATTTGGTGGAGATGGAAGACAGGCAAATATGCGAGTCAAGTCACAAGTGTCCATTAAGGTTTCTTTTGTAATATTATATTGCTTTAAAAATTATTACTTAATAAGGTCATTACGTGCGTGTGAATGTGTAATGGTAGGTGAGCTGAAAGTCTTAGACTCTAACATTGACCCCCTCAAGTTTCAAACAAGATCTTTCGTTGTTGGACCAAGGTTCGTGCAACATCTCCATCAATCCATTTTTAACTTTCGAACTCAATGTTTGGAGTTTGAGATCTGAGCAAATTCTTTTAATTAAACTTGAAGCCCAGAAACTATATTTTATGTTTTGTTTACTAGTTCTATCTCACTTGCAAAACAATTAACTAAAGAGGAAAAAGGAAAGGTGGTTGGGATTTGGACATTCGACTTATTCGTGTTAGACCAGTTACGGGCTTTGGGCCAGGTTGACTCGTTAAAAACAGATGCACCCTATAAAGATCTGGTAACTCATATACAAGATTATCCGAGTTAAGAAGTGCAAGCATGTGACTAAGTTTATTTGTTACCATATAAAACATTTTCAACAAATAAATAACTTTCATATTTTCATATTCTTATTTTTAAGGGATGAAGTTGATTCTCATGACGTCACAATTTATTTTTTATTTATTTATGTCAACTTCCTTCATGTCCACTTTTATAAAGATATTCTCATCACTAAAAAAATATTTTTTAATGTCTTTCCCCTCATTATATTTCTGAGAATATTATTTTCAAAAATAAAAATTGATAACTTGAAAAGATTTGATTCCTTATTACTTGTACACACATACATACATACATGATACATATATATATATATATATATATATATATATATATATATATATATAATTATGAGCTAAAAGCACGCTTCACGAACGCGTGTCGTTTTTGCGATGCTGCCTCCTGGCATCTTGGGTGGGAAAAAATGTGGAATCTTATACGATGGGACGTAATTGTAGAATCCACTGTCTAACTCTTAACTGTAAACACTGTCAGTCTCTTACACTATGTTATGTATCGCATTATAATATAAATTTTTTTTATTTAGTATTGTCGTATTTAATATGAGTTTTACAAAATATTAAGTACGTAATATATTTTCTATAACAGTATTTATACATTCCTTTTAAATGTATATATATATATATATATATATATATATATATGTATATAATTAACTTTATGCTAGATTGTATATATATTTTTCTTCATAAACATATGTATCTCAGAAACAAATTAAAAAACTTAAAGAAACAATTTTTTGTTAAAAACATTTTTCGGTTTTTTTTTTTGATTCAGAAACATTTTTCGGTTTAAAAAACCATTAATATGATGAGAAAATCCCAAAAATTTTCTAGGGGTAATAATATTTCAGACAAGCCCAATTGCATAGCCCACAATGTTGGATAGTTATTCACGGCCTTATTCTTAATATTGGCCCAGTATTTAAGATAAAATTAGCCCAGGTTTTGTTATTTACCCCTCCCCTATTTATTAGCGACACTTATTCCTTTTTTAAGTATATAAAATTACTTATATATTTTTTTTTGGTAAATTATTACTTTTATATATATAATATATATATCCATTAAAAAAATTAAAATAATTCTCTACACCTTTATTCCTTCTCATTCTCTCTTTTGAAAACTACACTTTCAAGAATAGTATATATATTTCTTTTAGAAAATACTTTGGAGAATGATATGTTTGTTCTGAAACTACTTTCGAGAATAATATGTTTGTTTAAAAAGTATTTTTACGTAAAATTTCTATATTAAATACACTACTAGAAAAGTGTCACTTTTATCTGAATTTTCCTACAAAAATATATTTGTAAATTTTTTTTTGTGAATTTTCTTACAAAAAAATATTCGTAGAAATTCTTTGCGAATTTTTCTGCAAAAAAATATTCGCAGAAATTTTTTGCGAATTTATTTGCGAAAAATAATTTACAGATATTTCTTACAAATTTTGCTACAATTTTAATAATCATAGAAATTTTTTTCCATGGTAAAAATTTGCAGAAAATATTGTAAGAATTTTATTTTGTTTCTTGCAGATTTTCTTGCAAAAATAAATTCGCAAGTAATGTTTACTAAATGGTAGAAAAATTTTGCAGGCCGGTAACTTTTCCTGCAGATTTTCCCGCAAATTTTAATCCGCAGGAAAAATTAAAAAAATATTTAAATTTATAAGTTTAATATTTTAAAAAAACTTCAAGTCCCATATCGATTAAAAATAAAATAATTAAAGAGTATATAAGTTGAGACAACACTTACCTTACAAGTTGATTTGTATGGTTGAGTGTTTAGCTTATAATCTACAATCTTAGAATTTAAAAGATTATGTATCACATGTTGGAGGCATGGAAATAAATGCTTCAGATAAATTTATTATGAGCATTTGAAAGTTGAAGAATTATTGATAGAATTTATAGTAATTTCTTTAATTTTTTTCGTAAAAAATATTCCGACAGAATTTTTTGGGAAAAAATTCGCAAAAATATATTATCCACGAAGGTATTACCTACAGATAAAATTTCGCAGAAAAATTTGTAAGAACAACGTTTCCTGCGAATTTTTTATAAAAGTTCGCTGGAAAAATCGCATATAATAAGAAAAATTTTAATAATGATAAATTATAAATAAGGAATAAATTAAATGTAAAGAATTTAAAGAATGATGAAGTGGAAAGATTGAAAAATATTATTTAAATAATGATAAAGATGAGAGTGAAAAATAAGATTTAAAAATAATGAAAATGGAGTGCAAGTCCTTTGCTTGTTAGTAAGAAGTTAAGAAGTAGCAGAAAAAGTAATCAATAGAGGGTTAATAGAGGGAGAGTGTGGCAGAAGAAAATAAGATAATGGAGGGTAAAAGGTCGTGGAGGAGGAAGGAGAGTGAGCGAAACAAAATTGAAAAAAAAATATTTGAAAAAGGGGAAATAAATTTAAAGGATATTTAAAGAATTTTATTTTTTAAAGAAGAAGATGTGTATTTATTACTAAAGAGAGGCATGAATATAATTTTTCAGTAGTTATTCTAAGACTACCAAAAGTAAAAACTTGGTCCAACAACTTTTTGATGGGCATGCAAAATCTAACTTTTTGCATAATAGAAAATCATTCATCAATCGAATTAGTTGAGTATTAATATCCCTCGATCCTTATAAGGTGATATATTTTTAATGCTCTAATTATAGGTCTTTAGATTGTCATCTAAAGATTACCTGTGACCGAAACAATAACACACTGTTTCATTTGAAGTTTTTGTTAAAAAAAAAAAATGAGTTGCTTTAATAAACAAAGAGACTTGTTTAAGACAAAATTCAAAGATAACACCAAAATAAAATCTCCATAAAATTTTATTGTTTCAATATATATAAATAATTATGTAAAAAAATATTTTATAAACATATTTAACTATGTCAAAAATATATAGAATTTATAATCGTATTTATTATTGGTTATGACTTTTCAATTTTCTCTTTTCTCTTCTCGTATAATTCCCTTCATCATTGATTTTAAGTTTATTAAATATTTAATTGCATGTTTATTTAACTAAGTAAATATTATAAAACATAATGTTGAGGCCAATTATTTTAAAAAAATTAAATTCAACCTTATTGTACCGTCATGGTCGGATACCGACTCCCTCCAGCCCTCACGGTTACGGTCGGACACCGAGATGGTGGACATGCGTACGGTGGCTTCGCTAGTGACTCAACCAGCTTCCCAAAGGTGAGCTCGGTTTTCAGCGGACTTGACACGGGAGCACCCCATATCGGATTTCTCTCGACACCTCGGCATAGGCCCAACCAATCAGAATCTGTCTGGGCCCTCAGTATGGACCCCGTCGGTCAAAACCCGACTGGGCCCTCGGCATGGACCCAGTCGGTCAAAACCTGACTGGGCCCTCGGCATGGTTCCTGTCGGTCAGAACCTGGCTAAACCTGTTCCCCTTATTCCCGCGCCATCGAGATAATAACGGTTAGCAAAAATCCCGCCATTCTCGGGGCCCAAGAGGCCCACGAACGACATACTATAAAACCCAAAACCCTAGAGTTGAGAAGACAGATTACACTATTGAATGCTCTGGCTGTGAGGTACGATCTAGGAAAAAACCCTAGTTTACCCTTTGACCGGAACACTTATATAAGTAAATTATGTCTTTATAAGAGGTTTTTTAATCATTCACCATATTTTTGAGACCTATTTCACTTCAACTTTATGTAAGGAAAAAAAATATTTAGTCATTTTGTATTTTTCCTTTATTAAAAAAAAAAAAGAAGAATGTATTCATCCTCTGATTTTTGCTATGATTTATGTCAAGGATCTTCCTTTTTATTTAAACTAGTCGAGTGATTCGTGTAATTACAAAGCTTACATGAATTGTTCTTGATATATATAAATGTCAAAAGTGACATTTAAATATAATAAATTATACATTATGTATAATATATATGTATACAGAGATTAAATGTTATTTATTTTTAGTTTGCAAATATAACAACTATAATATTGAATCATAAAAATAAAAATAAAAATAAAAAAACCACTTCATCGTGGGATATAGATATTCTGTGCTACACAAGTGATGTATCTGTCGTTTTGGATTATTTGTTATTCTTCTGCCTGCAGGAAATTCCTATAAGGAACAGAATGTATGGGTGAACTCCTCAGGTTCTGCAAAAGAAATAACAGTTTGATTTAGGAATTAGAATTATATGAAACTAATAAAAGAATTTTCATTTGATAAGATTTTTGTGAGAAAAGAAACCTTTTTTTTTTCTTCTATGAACATAGCAAAAATAAACAGTTTCACGGGGACAACCGTAGTAGTGTATATACATATAGGATAGAAGTAAACAACATAAATTAATTTACCTATATATATCATGAAAAAAATCAACATATAAAGGAAGCCAACAAGAACTTACATAGAAGATTGTGAAAGTCATGAATTTGGAAAGTATTTGGATAAAGTCTAGAAGAGATTTTTTTTTTTAAAAGAGGTTCTCTATTAAAAATATGAAGAAAAAAAATTATAAAAATATTTTAAAGATTACTTTTAATTAACTTTATCTAAACATACTCCTATTTACAAAAAATTATTTATTAATTCAAGATCACTACAAATTTATAGTTGTAACTAATTATTGTATGATATATATTTAAAATTTTCAACTTAATAAAAAAATTTAATAACATTACACATGTCATATTTTTTTTTTGTAAAAATAAGAAATATTACAAAGAAAGATGAAATGAGGGTTGAACCTGCTCTTCATGCTTCTAACTACTCTAACCCCCATCTAACTACTAGACTAAACCTAGATTTTCATGTCATATAAAGATTGATTAAAGATAATATAATTGATGAATACTTGTTCCACTTACATTGTTACATTTATTCTTGTTTCACTTGATCTTCTTATCTGGAACCAGAGAGAAGATCCAAGGTTTCCTTGGCTTGGAGGTTAGAAGTAGCCATTGAATGGGGTTGAGGAGTGGAAGCAGAGAGAGGACCATCTTGCCAAAGGTGGACCAAAGTGGTGGTACCGTTTGGAAGAGTGAGAGTAGCATAAATAGTGATCTCACTATCTTGACGGGTACCCGTCAAACCCGAGTTAGCATAAGAGATGTTTCCCTCTGCCAACTGGGTTGAGTAACCGGCGATGGAAGAAGTATACACCCTTGGGGCCCCACCAGATTGTGAGATAGCCACCAGAGCCTGTGCTCCAACCATAGCTGAATTCAGGTTGTTGTTCGGATTGATACCCCATGCAACCCACCTATCTGTGGCGTTGATTCCACCGTGTCTGAACGCCATCTCCAACTTCCCTGTGCTCTCCTCGTAGGTCCAGTGGAGGTACGAGGTTAAGTGAGGAAGATCGCGGCATGAGGTGAACACCTTGTTGTTGGTGAAGGTTTGGTTCTTGCACGTCTGTGCCGAGGTTGTCAGAAGGAGAGAGCTCAATGCACACATGGCCAACACAAGCCTCGCCATCACCAACTTTCCAACCATAACCCTTTTACTTTATAATATTATATATTTTGAAGTAGAGGGGTTATTGTATTTATAGCTCTCCAACCATGACTAAGAAGAACTATTCCCAGACCTACGTAAGCACCCGGAAGTTCTCCAAATTCCTTGCATTCAATATTAACACCTGAATTCAATATAGATAATCTTCTAGATAAGTATTTAAAAAAATGGAAAATAAATAAAATAATTTTTTATAAACTAAAATTATTTATAAAAAAAACTACTATGAAAATTTTTTAAAAATTAATTTAAATATAAGTCAAGTTTAATTTATAAAAAAATATTTGTGAAAAAAAAAATTATCTAAACAAACACTTAATATATATACAAAAACTTCTATTTTTTTGTTAACAACTTTTTCTTCGTACCGGTCAACCCGTTTTTATTTTCTTCCCTTGAGTGGCGTGTTGCTTGGGAGATTAACACGTTATATATGACCTAGTAGTATTAAAAGAAAATTCAGCGTAAGAAATCAAAAGAAAATAAATAGCACTGAAGATTTTAACGCTTGAAGTTTGATTTGAAGCTACGATTTGGTAGACGGGCAGATATATGTGATTCTGTGATATGTGAATCAAGTCACAAGTGTCCAAGGTCATCACAATAAAAAGAACTGTTATTTAACAAGGCCATTAGCCACGTGTAATGGGAGGGTGAATTGAAATTTGAAAGTTTCGCACTCTAACCTTGATCCCCTCAAGTAAGCTAATTAAAACAAGATCTTTCGTCGACTTGGACCAAGGTTCGCGTGTGTAACATCTCCATATTTTTTAACTTTTTAAACTCAACGTTGGAGTTTAAGATCATGGATAAATGCTTTTAACTTGAAGCCTTTATTTTTTCTTTTGGCATGCACACAAAACTATATTTTATGTTTTGTTTACTAGTTCTCTGGCTCTTAACAAAACAATTAACTGAAGAGGAAAAAAAGAAACGTGGTTAATTTGGGACTTGTGAGTTTCTACTCGTTCGTGTTAGAAAAGCTACGGGCTTTTGGCTAGGCTGACTTGTTAAAAACAAGGAAAATGATTTGTGAACATCGTACTCTAGACAACATGTTGAGACCAAGACAAAGAAGTGTAAACATAATAGCTAATAGCTAATATGATGTGATAAGAAACGCGGAGAAAAAAAGGATGTGTTAATAAGAAAAGTGATTAGATACGTCTTTATACATATCACTGTTCTAAAAACAAATGTGCCCTACCCTGATAACAAAATGAAATCTCCATGGAACGATATTGTTTCAATGTATAGAAACGATTCAAAATTTGCATTATGTGGTTAGCTTGTGGATTGAAATGAAATAATTGAAGGACTAAACCGAAAAAAAATAAAGTGTAACATGGGTTTAAAAAGAAAAAAATAATGCATGAGTATAAGGCGATCCATTATCACCCTTCTTATATGTGATTGTAGCGGAAGGTCTAGTTGGCATGATGAGAAGCATTGTCCAAATATATTTGTTCATAAGTTGAGGTAGGAGCTAAAAGGGTGACAGTAAATTTGCTACAATTTGCAGATGACACCATTTTCTTTGGGAAGTAACTGTATCTAATGTCATAATTATCAAGAGCCTATTGAGATGTTTTGAGCTAGTTTTAGGTTTCAAAATCAACTTTCACAAAAGCTGTTTTGGGGCAATTGGATCAAACTTGTCAGATTTGATAAGACATGCCATAGTTTTAAATTGCAAAATTATGGATATACCATTTAAGTACCTAGGTCTCCCAATTGGTGACAATCCTAGACGTCAAGCTAATCATACTTAAATTTGAAAAGAAGCTTGCACTCGAGAAAAAACAAGCTTCTATCCCTTGCTGGCAAAGTTTGCTTAATCAACTCTATTCTCTCGTCACTTTCACTTTACATATCCTTTTCAAAATACCTAAGAAGGTGGAGCATAAGATAATGAAGATACAACATAAATTTCTGTGGAGAGAGGAAAATCAACACAAGAAAATTGCTTGGATCAGTTGGGACAAAATATACCATCAAAACGCACAAGATGGTCTAGGAATAAAGGATATCACTTTGTTCAACAAGGCACTGCTGGGGAAATGGCGTTGGAGTATGTTCCACAACAAAAAAAAAACCTATGAGGAGACATATTGGAATCTGAATACAGAGGGTGGAGGGACCTAACGAGTGGAGAGGATAATAACTTCCAATCATACTGATGGAAGGACTTAAGAAGAGTACGTGGAAATAAGGATGAGGAACAATGGTTTGAAAGATTATACCAATGGAATGGTATGGATGGTCAAAAGACTCTATTTTGGGAAGACCCATGGTTGGACCAAGAACCACTAGCAACAATCTATCCCAAAATCTATTTGAATTCTACTAAAAAACAAACCAAAATACATTCAATGGGACATTGGAATGATGGGGAGTGGAATTGGGACTTCAAGTGGAGAAGAAACTGGTTAGGGAAGGACTTTGAGCAGTGGGAAGATCTACAAAGGAGACTACAGGGGTTACGATTTGATAGTTATAAAAAGGACTATTGGAAATGGTTGTCAGGGAATATTCAAGGATATACTGTGAAGTCCACCTATGGTGAATTACTATCTTGGAAAGTTGGGTCAGAAGAGGTATCTTTCCTAAAAGAGTTGTGGTCACTTAAAATCCCCCCTAAGGCAAAAATACTAACATGGAGAATGTACTTTGAGGGCCTACCAACTATAGATAACTTGAAAAAGAGGAACATATAGATAGCTCAGAATGAGTAAAGATGTAGATTTTGTCTTGAGGAAACAGAAACAACAACACACTTATTTTTTCACTATAGTAAGGTTGATCAAGTCTGGAAATTATGTTACAAGTGGGCCAATTTTAATACGATATTACCGGCAACTGCAATCCAATACTTCCAACAACTTCCAAGACATAGCTACAAAAATAAGCAAGCATCAAGATGGAAAATAATGTGGATGGCAACTGTCTACAATATTTGGATGACAAGAAACAATAATATCTTTAGAGGGCAAGGAATCGATATACAACAATTGGAGTAGAAAATCATATTTATAACTTGGTCATGGATGAAAATGGATAAAGATTTTCCATATAACTATGTGCAATAGGAGACAACACTAGGGTTATGCATTATAGAAGATGAAGGATAATGATGGGAAGACTTACAAGGGGACATCAGGGGCAACATAAGATGTAATAATAATCTGAGTGGTTGAGTATAAAAAAAGGTTCTATACAAGGACATTAACTGATCGGTAGAAAACAAATGAAAGTGGATGACAACCACTCTTATTTAAGGGTAGATTCACGATTCATTATAATTTTGAGTCAAATTTACTTTTTGGTAGAATAGTAAGATTTTGGGTTGACTTCGTACGGGCTCATAGCCCACCATGAATTTTTGATCAAGCAATTTTGTTTGGTTAGTAGGTAATTTAGGTAGTTAATCTAAATTACCCCTAACCAGTACCTTGTAAATATGGGATTATGGCACCCTTAGTGCCACAATATAATTTTATTTGATCATTTAAAAAAAAAAAAAAAAAAAAAAAAAAAA